TCCCAGCTACTCGGGAAGCTGAGGCAGGAGAATTACTTGAACCTCGGAAGTGGAGATTTCAATGAGCCAAGGTCATGCCACTGCACTCCACCCTGGGCAACAGAGCAAGACTCTGCCTCAAAAAAAAAAGGGGAGTGGGGGGAGACAGAGAAGACACATCTGGCCTTGGCAAAATCAGAGACACCATTTCCACCTCCACTGTACTTCGTCCCCCAAAATATCAAATGCCATTCAAAAAGCTTGATGGACCTGAAGGTTTCTGGAAATGCAGAACTGGAATGCTCAGAAGAAGCAAGAGTTCATAATTCAAAGCCAAATCGTCTACATGAGTGAGGAAGAGCATCCAGTCTTTTAAGGACTCCCACATTTCTCCTGCACATTCCGTCTTCTGCAGCAATAAGCCAAAAGCAGGGTGGGGTGACAGCAGGACCTTCTTAGAGCTGGGCTGCGGTAGTCACTACTGAAACACGCCACGGTGAACATCAAATGAAGAAGTCAGCCTAGAGAGCAAAGAGCATTCATACGGGTAGGAGTGGAGAACACCCGGATGGAGGCCCCAGCTCCAGAATGCCTGTTCCAAGCCCTTACTTAGCAAATCACTTATTTCAGCTGAACCTGAACTTCCTCTACTGTAAAGTGGGGGGGAGGGGGATGTAAAGAGGCCAACTCCATGAACTTCAAGTCCTTAAACTCCACAACCCTCTCCTGCAATTCCAACGCAAAATCGGTCTCAGGGTGGCCTTAATGACAGCATTAATCAAAGATGGAAACCTCAGCAGGAAATGTCAATGTCAGCCTCTGGCCACTTCTCTCAGTCCCAAAGTGGCTTTATTATTTCTTTCTTTCTTTTCTTTTTCCTTTCTTTTTTTTTTTAAGATGGCTGCCGAGGCTGGAGTACAGCAGCATGATCTCGGCTCACTGCAACCTTCAACTCCCAGATTCAAATGATTCTCCTGCCTCAGCCTCCAGAATAGCTGGGATTACAGGTATCTACCACCATGTCTGGCTAATTTTTGTATTTTTAGTAGAAACGAGGTTTTACCATGTTGGCCAGGCCAGTCTCTAACTCCTGACCTCAGGTGATCTGCCTGCCTTGGCCTCCCCAAAGTGCTGGGTTACAGGCATGAGCCACCACACCCGGCCCCAAAATGGCATTCTGTTTGTTTAATAAGACTTCTGATTGAGACTAATAAAAGCTATTAAAGATCCCTTCTAACCCTCAAAAGAATCCTGGTTTGGAAGGGAGGAAACCAGCATTTGTTGCGAGCCACCTATATGCCAATTTGATGTTTTCATCTGCTAACCCAACTGATGCCACACAACCAATGTAGTGAGTTGAAGGGTGACCTTCAAGAAGGTAAGTCCGTGTCCTAAGCCCTGGAAACTAGAAACGTGCCCTTATATGAAGAAAAAGGTCTTTGAAAATGTCAATAAGTCAAAAATATCAAGGTTAGCTCATCTTGGATTTAGGATGGGCCCTAAATCTAGTAACAGGTGTCCTCACAAGAGGAAGACAGGAGATTCTGAGATACACAAAGAGAAAATGACTGTGTGAAGATGGAGACAGAGGCTGGAGTGGCAACTACAAGCCGAAGACAGCTACCAGAAGCTGGGGAGGGGCGTGGAGCCTTCCAACACCTTAATTTTGGCTTTTTAGGCTTCCTGCCTGTAAGAAAATAGATTTATTTGGTTTTAAGCCAACTAGTTTATTGTAATTTGTTAAGGCCGCCCTAGAAAACCTAATACAACCATCAAAGGAATGAGGTAAGTATCGTCATTTCGATTTTACTGATAATAAAACAGGGCCTCAAAAAAGCTACATAATTTGTCCCCATTCACTAGGGGCCCCAGGTGTGGCCACTGACAAACCTGCTATTTGTTCCACGGCACAAGTGTTTTTACTCTAACATTCGTGAGTGCCAGCGCCTTCACTTCCAGACACAGGAAGTGAAATGAGTCACCGCAACGCTACAGCTTCACGGTGGCAGGCCCCCGGTCAGAACGCAGGGCTCCGGTACCACTCAACAACGAACGACGGTGAGGACCCGCCACCTCCCGGAGCCAGCTATCTTAGGGGAGCCCATTTTGTTATTGCCACAATTACCAAAATGTGGAGTGTCACACTAATTTTCCCTTGCAGTAAATAGTTGAAAAGTAATGGTGTCAATTTTAATGAGGATCAAGCCAGGCTCCTAAAAGGGCTCCCAGAAATGAAAGCATTTCCCTTACACACAACAATGGCTTGCTGTTTAATTCCAGAACACAAGAATGTCACTTGAATTACACGGCTTTTACATTAAAGTGCTTATGGGAATGCCTTTCCAAGGAAGAATTTCAGTCAAAAGATCTCACCCATCTTGATGCTTCATAATATCTGAACCACAATCTATGTAACATAGCAACAAAAATAAAACCCCAAAGAATGTGGGCAAGAACAGGACTTCGCCTTCACTGAGAAAGGGTTTCTGATTTTCTGTGAAACAGAGAGGTGGCTGTAAAGCTGCTATCACACAGCAATGGATCACATTTGGGCCTGTGGGCTACCAGAAATTCATTGCTTAAGACTGAATCCTTTTTGTTTCTACTTGCTGAGATGTTCAGAACGATTGCCAACCCTGTACGTCTACATGTGCCTCTTTAGCTGACTCAATTCTCATTTTATTAGTGCTTCGCAAAGCAATTACTAGGGTTTTGAGCAGAGATGAGAGTATTTCACACTTCCATCTTTACTGAAAATGTCTTATACTCCACTGACTTTTGGCTTCTATTTATAAAGAAGGTTCAAGGCTTGGAAAATTATTGGAGTTGAGCTTTAATGGATATTCCCAACCAGCATTGTGTCATTATTGGCCCGTGTTTAGCTGGGCGATCTCCCAATTTTGTGACATAATCAGGCTTCTCTCTGCATTACTCCATACACTCCACGCTCCCTCTGCATTACACCACTGAATCATACGGTCTTTTCAACAAGACTGATTGCCAGGGGATTAACATTAGACAGCACAATTCCATTATTCAGCAGCCCAATTCAAATCCCAACCCTAAACTCTAAGAGAGATTTCAGGCCTTCACAGGGATGAGCTGCCAGAACGCTCAAAGAGGAGGTGGGGTGAGGGGCTTTTCAATGTTTTACATAACAACTCAACCTATAACTTGCTGTAAGCAAGAGCCCGGACCGGAGTGGCCGCAATCTGACTCTGAGATGCCTGGAATGGCCCCAGCCCAGCTAAATGAATGATTTGTAGACCTAAGCAAAGCTATGATCCCAAAAGACTGCTATAGCTCAATTATATTTACCATAATAAATTACTTAATTTCAAAATTAGGTTTTTAGAACTTTTAGTCCAAAATCTAACTCTCTTTCCCTAAATAGAAATAGTTTTATGTCACATTCAGTATACACGAGGACTCAGGTAAATGCCAAGTCATTTGCTCTTTGATCAATGGATTTATATCAATGCCAAGTAAATGTTAACCATTTTCTTCTCATATTTGAGTGTCACTTCTCTTTTTGTTTCCTTTGTGAAATGTCTGAACATAGTAATTCTCACTAAGAAGCATGCCACAAATATCTCTATGGGGAAAGAGAACTCTAAAACTCACTCTTTTATGAATATCTATAGGATCAACATTCTTCAAGGACCTATCAAATTTCGCATGAAGGCTTCTGAAGAACAGAACTCAAATCTTCAAATAAACACTTTTTTCCCTGAATGCTTCTATGCAAATGGAAGTAAAGACTATACCATGCTTTCTAAGGCAGAGTGTCTTGTAGATCTAATTCCACTTAACTTGACAGAAAATCAAAATAATTTTACTTTTCAGTTAATCTACAGTTTTAATTAACCAAATCTTTGCAATTTGGTTAATCAAGCTTTTGGATTACTTTTTAATGGCTTCTTGGGCAATTCCAATATCTATAGGGTCTCCCTCTTCAAAGATATTTTATGGAAGGAGACCCACATGTGAGATGACACTAGGGACACACACACAGGCAATGATGTAGGAGACACTTTGTTTACAGAGGCACAGTGGGTGGTGTGGGCTTGCAGAATTACCAACAGTCACCTTACAGCAAAGCGTGAGTGTGCACTGAGCTGAGTCTGTAGCAGAAGTCAGCGACCTGTATTTAGGGGAGGGCAAACCAAAAGAAAGGGCTCAAGGTGGTAGGGTGGAAGTCATGGCACATGTCAGGATGGAGATGGCCCCTACAGGTAAGGAATCTTACCCTGCCATCCCGCAATAATGAAATATGCCTTGGGTATAGTTCCATATGTTAGCAATCCTCCAAGACAGAGAAACAGCCTTTATTCATTAGTTACAACAAAGCCCCATCATCTCAGGCAAAACTTGGGAAGAAATTGGAGTTTCCAAGGCAACAGGCTAGGTGGTCTTCAATGTTTAATTAAAATGGCCTACTTATCTGCGCACTGTGACAAAAATGTATTTATAAGCCCATATACATGGTTCCCTTTGCACAGAGGAAATAGCTACCAGGATAAGACACTGAACTGGTACCGTCTAATGACTTTCTTGTGATGGAAATAAAGGGCCCTCAACATTCACGTTTTTCCAGCCAGCTATGGGGTCAGTCCTTAGATCTTTCCCTTTACTCCTCAGCTGGCCTTCTACAGCTGCCCTGTGGATGCTTCTCTTTTAAAACCAAAGGTCTCCTACAGCACATCTGTACCCTTTTCGCCTGCCCAGTTTACATTTTCAGAGGAATCTCAGCTTCCAAAATGTCAGACCACATCCACTTTATACAGATGACGCTTGGGAAGCATGAGGCCCATGCAAAGACCATAAACCCTGGCTCCCTGGAAAAGAGAATGTTGTCCGATGACAGAAGCAGCCTTCTAAAATGACAGTATAAAGAATAAGAATGAACCAATTCTCCTGAAACTTTTGGGAGAAACAAGACTTAACAAGTTCATGTTTTCAAACGAGTCAAGGGAGAACAGGCTGGTGTGCAGCTGCCACGCGAGAAGAGGCACACTCACCCACAACATCCAGGTGGTACGTGTGATTGATGGACCCGTACTCATTCTCCACCACGCAGGTATAATTTCCCTTGTCAGATGGGACCACGCTTTCCATAATGAGACTCCAGTGCTGGTTGCGTACCTGAAAAGATCAAAGCAAAGGAGGTTATTTAACAGTCCTAGCACAGAATACCAAGTACTGTGCTTTCTCAATTTAAAAAGAAGCTGAAGGAGGCAAGGAAGGTATAGAAGAATCACGTAAAGTCTAGATTGATAACTGTCACTAAGAATCGTGACAAATGAAAACCACCATCATCATCATCCCAGTGAACACCTGTGAAGCCAATATTGACACATTCAGATCCGCAGGAGTATTCAGCAGTGTACAGCATGGGTCTGTTACTGTCGTGGACTTGAGGGTTCCTCCAGGAGAGGCCAAGTGGCCAGGGAGTCTGAACACCAGCCAACCTGGAACCAATGTCTATGGGCAGGCGAGCTACCAGTTCGCCCATCCACTGGAAACCCTCAGTCTCTAGGGCATCACAGAAACATCTAGAACTAACACTAGTGAGCACTTAACTGTACGCCAGGCACTGCTCCAGGCCCTCTGTGCTGCCTTAGCTAATTCATTTCTCCTAAGGAGCTCATAGTTCTCAGAGGTTGTCTGGATGTCTCAAGAAGTTTCAGCTGGAAACAGGTCTGCCCTTCCCATCTCTCGTTGTGGCTGAATAGAGAGACATGTTCCTGAGAGAAATACCCAGAATTCCAAATATGGGAGCAATGAATCCTTACACAACTCAAGTTGTGTATCAGTCTGTTCACAAACTTCTTGAGACTTTCCAAAGATAAGTAGCACATGTGAAAATCAGCTATTGTGACTCCTACCTAAGGTTCTGTCAATGCACACATAGACACCATTCTAATGTTCTCCCCTTGCTTTTCAAATATATCCATAGGTTCAAATTTTCAAACATGCGTGAGTTTTCCTTACCACAAAATGCAACGTCTAGTATCTTCAGGGTTCAAGGCTTTAATACTTCTATCCAAATCCAAGTCACTCTCTCTAGGTATTTTGGACAAGGCACTCCAGTGAAACAAAATGAAAAAATAAACAGTCGAGGCCTACTGACCTTCGCTATCATTTCAGGAATTTCAGCTGAACTTCTGAGCTGCCCTGGGCATTGCAAGTGTTTTGGGATTCATCACGTAACAAAACGAATACAGGCCGAGCATCTGCAAGCACATGAGTGATTCAAGAAAGTAGAGAATAAAGAAAATCATCTCGTAACCACTCCATTACAAAAACAGGAGGGCAGAGCAGCTGTCCACATTGCAAAGCAGTGCCAGTGATCAGCCTGCCAACAGAGCCAAGAGATGCGAGGAACGTACTGTAGCGCCACGATTTTCACGTCAGCCATTCAGTTAGTTCCACGCAAGCCATGACTACAGACGGAGCTACTGCTGCTGAGTTCTAAAACCAGGTCGCTGCTTGTCGCTGACAGGCTTCGGAAGGATCAATGGGGTGAAGGCTGGCCTCTTTCCTTCTTAACAGAGTACAAGCAGTGAGTTAGGACAGTTCGGTGCAGTCACTTTGCTCGGCTGCTGCAGTCCCCGACAACTAGGAAGGTTGTTTCTGAGTCTAGCAGCCTCACTGTCGCAGGTAAAATGTCTGGCAATAAAATGAATCTGAGGGCACCTGATCAACAGTGGAGGGTCTGTATTCTACATCAAAGATTCACTTTCTGCTCTTGGCTGAGCCATAGACTTGTGACAGAACCCAAACAAGATGCTAGGACGTCTCCCCTTAGGAGAGAGAAGCACCTTCCATGCAGAATATGTCTTCTGAAGGAGAAGGAGATATGGATACTAAATCTTCCAGCACAATGAGAATTCCCTACCTAAATCCTGGATTCCTGGGTGCTACAATGGCGTCGTTATACTAAGAACGTGGGACACGTAGGTATAAGCTCCTTGATTCTAGTTAAGGCCCAGAAGAAGACCTTCCCTTCACCTCAAGCTCTCAGGAGTAACAGAAATGATTCCCTCTTCGCCTATGGGGAACTAGTCACGTGGCAGGTAACTTAAGGGATGTAGCCAAGGGTCCCCACGTCACCAAACCACGTAATCCAGCATTTATCCCTGCTGTAAATATTCAGTTCTTTGAGCTCCCGCTCAAATGTCATGCCCATAAGCCCTTAATCATGGCTAGTGCCTGTCTCTGGACCCCATTCAAACTGTCAATGTCTTTCTTGTGCCTGGATCCAGATTTGGCACACAGAGTATTCCAAATGGACCTGAACCTGAACTGCACAGGGAGGGGTCATGGGCTGACTTGGCTGAGACATTAAATCTTGGCATATGTAGCTTGGCTCGCTGCTCCCTTTTTTTAACCCCAGGGGATAGGGTCAGCTCGAGTCTCTCACTGGGACCAGGGCATTCCATACAAGATCTCTCCTCAAGAGCCTGCGCTCCCTGAATATTGACTTCCTGGAGATGCGCCACAAATATTAATAAGTTAACGTTTATAAAATGCTTTTACAATGAGAAGCACATTTACCAAACAGGGTGTTTCTGTCCTTCCAGAAATCTTGGTATTAGATCAATATTGCCCCATGTAGTGCTGTTAATATTTATTTTCTTACACCATTGCTCCAGTATTTCATTTATTGACCTATCACCAATCCCAAATTTTATGAGCTGTAGCATTTTCCAAATGGATCCCCCTGGAAGCCGCCAACAATGGAACTGCTGGGCACTTTTGAAGGGGATAGCCTACCATTGATTAGTGGTTTCTTAATAGCAAGCTAAGAAACTACAATAGTAACTTTATAAAGATGGCAAACAAAAGCACAAAGTTGGAGTTTTTTTTCATTACTCTGTTTCCATACAGAGTCTCAGCATAAACCTAAAGAAATGACTCTTCCAACATAAAATCTACAACGTGTGTTTCTAAATTCCTCAGATTTTGAGTGCCACAATTCTTCTGCCAGTTAGGCCAAATGTACATACACCATTTTCGCTTTCAGAGAAGAGGGAACATAAATACCCAATAAACATATGAAAAGATACTTAACCTCATTAACGATCAGGGAAATGCAAATTAAAACAATAATGAGACACTGTTATTCACCAGCTGATTAACAAAAATTAGAAGGATCAATGTTATTCAGTACTTGGTGAATGTGTAGGGAAAGAAAAGATTCCAGTTGAGAATGGGAACATAAATTGAGAAAAGCCTTTGTGTAAAATAACTTGCTGGTGTCTATTAAAATTAGCAGCACACATTTTTCTGGCCCAGTTAATTCTACTTCTAGAAATCTAGCCCACAGAAAATAATAGCACAATTACTTCAAGGCACATGAACGAAACTGCAGCTTCAAGCACCACTTGTAAGAGCAAAAAACTGAAATCCATCAAGGAGAGAGACATTAAGAATGTCTGGTTCATCCTACATGAACTAACAGATAGTTCATTCAAACACCATAGTATATAGTCACAAAAAGAATGATGTATTATATTCAGACCTGGTAAGGTATCATTAAGCCGTTATTGAAAAATGAAAAACAGTTCACTCATGATTCCAATTTATTAAAAAAGGAAAAAAGAAAAAGCAGACACGTGTACCACCCTAAAGATACATATAGGACTAAAGGTGTAAGCCTGACTATAAACATAGCTAAAAAATGTATCAAATTGTTAGCAATGTACTTTACACAATGAAGCACTGGGATTATGGGTATTGTTTACTTTTTTCTCATTTCTACTTTTCAAACCAACAGAAATCTCAACACACACAACAAAGAAGTATAACAGCTCCTTAGCTAATCATTCCATAGTAGCTACCCCCTGCAGAACCAATGCATCTGGCAAAACAAACCACAAAAGTCAGAGAGAAAAGAAATCCTGCACCGACCAACACAAGCACGACTCTTTATTTTCCTTCCTGCTTGTGGCCAGGTCTTCGTGGAATTCATCACTATTTTTTATCTGTCAAGTAACAGAATAATAGGAGAGCATGGGTTTCAAAACTACGTTCACTGAAGATTTTTTTTAAATAATATTTCAATACTGAAACAAAGCAGATTGAAGTGAAATGGCCTAAACTCCCAAGTGTAACAAGAAAGAAAATGGATTCCACGAACATTCCACACCCCATTCACACAAAGATACAAGGTAGCCCAGACGGGTTTTTTTTTTTTTTTTTTTTTCCCAGAATTCTTCTGCTACCTTCATCCTGTAAAATACCTATTAAATCCCAGGCTACCTTCAGGTGACAACTGAGAATGTAGATTTAGTCTGTTGACACCAAAACACCGAAGTGAAAGGTGAAGGGTGAAAGGTCAAAGACCTAGGCTGTCACCTGGATATTTACCTTCCACTTTGCAAAAAAATCCAGACATTTCCAAATACCCAGGTGCTTGATAACAAGCAGAATAAACATCCAGAAGATGACAGGAAGTTTTATTCTGGGCCAGGTAGAACGCTGTGTCCATGTTACATCAGATAGATATTCCCAAGCCTTTCTCCTGCCAGTATCAGCACTCCACTTACCCAGGAAGACAGCAATCTCTAGTAATCCTGGCCTTCACACAGGCACCCACCCGATGAACAGATCAATTCATTCGACAGATGAGGTGCCATTAAAATGCATACAATTTGCTAGGCACAGTGGCTCATGCCTGCAATCCCACGCAGTACTTTGGGAAGCTGAGGTGGGCAGATCATTTGAGGCCAGGAGTTTGAGACTAGCCTGACCAACACGATGAAACCCCGTCTCTACTAAAAATATAAAAATTAGTTAGGCATGGTAACAGGTGCCTGTAATCCCAGTTACTCAGGAGGCTAAGGCAAGAGAATCGCCTTAACTCAGGAGACGGAGGCTGTAGTGAGCTGAGATTGTGCCACTGCACTCCACCTGGGGCAACAGAGTGAGAATCTGCCTCAAAAAAAAAAAAAAAAAAAGAGCATAAAATCATACTCTCGCATCCCAGCCCCCCCACTTTCAACAGGCTCCTGGAAGACTTGCAACTATCCCTTCTGAATGCATTTGCACTGACTAAGCTTGCATGTCAAAGACAGAGGTACTTGCTGTTGCTCACCATCATGCAGATGTGGAGCCAAACACCTGTTAATGCTTCAACT